ATGGGTGGATGGATGGATGAATAGATAGATGGATGGATGGATGGATGGTTGGATGGATGGATGGATGGATGGTTGGATGGATGGTTGGATGGATGGATGGAGTGTGAAAATGTATTTACAAAAGGCAGAACAGAAGCCTCAAACTAAAACAATCTTTAAAAATAAATAATAATAAATAAATAATAATAAATAAATAATAATAATAATAATAATAATAATAATAATAATAATAAATAAATAAATAAATAAATAAATAAATAATAATAATAAATAATAATAATAGAAATGGATCCAGCTGACTGCCGCAGGGAAAGCATTAGAGTTCAGGGTTTAAAAGTGATGAAGGTTAAGATCATGAGCGCGTCAGCAGCACAGCAGCTGAACGTTGTCAGGACTGACAGCACAGTGGAGAAGAATGCAGATTATAGATCGTACAGAGGATTGAAAAAGACCAACAACAGAGTGGTGCGCGCACTACTTGATGTATTTCTGTGACCTGCTGGGGCTCGTAACGGCCGGAGCTGCTGTTCATGTTCAGACCAAACATCTAAGCACAGCTCTGCTGGGGTTCAACTTTTGATCTCATCAATCAGTCCAGTTTAAGCAGCTGTGCCCAGGTCACCGGACACATCTGTTCTGATCCGGTGACCATGAGCAAACTGTGGAGCTCTGCTGCTCCGACAACCGCAAGGAAGACACAAACAAGACGTTCCAGAGCTGTCAGTCATCCGCCAGACAGCTGGATTAGTGCACGCGCCTGATACCTGCGAGACAGCACATCTGGCTCTGAACCGGACCATCATCAGAACCAGGACCAGACCAAGCCTGACCCCTGATCCAGAGCTGCGCGAGCTTCACAGTCAACTGAAAACCACTAGATCACTTCCTGTGATTTAAGCACAGAAGTGATCGATTTGGAGATTTAAACATTTACAACAGCAGCAGAAACCCTCTGGTTCTGAAACGTATCCTGTCTAAATCTAAACAAACAAACAAACAAACAAAATTATAAAGAATCATGTGGAGGTAAAACCCGCCGTCCTACTGGGTCAGAACCTTTCTGTCACTTTGGCTTTTAACATTTGTTCAAGCAGCTGGATTATGAATTGTTCTGGATTATTCAAGCAGCTGCATTAATAAGTGATCTGGATTATTCAAACAGCTGGATTATGAATTGCTCTGCATTATTAAAGCAGCTGGATTAATAATTGCTCTGCATTATTAAAGCAGCTGGATTAATAATTGCTCTGCATTATTAAAGCAGCTGGATTAATAATTTTTCTGGATTATTCAAGCAGCTGGATTATGAATGATTTAGAAATAAACAGGTTTTTAGTCACAACTCACCGTTGAAGTTCCACAGCGGCTGAAAACCTCCAACTTCTCTGCTCTCGTTCCTCATGTTGTCACCTCACACCGAACCGGACCGGACCCGAACTTTGCCCCGACGCTTCGGTTCTGTAGGGACCCGGGTCCCCGGTGTCGGACTGAGCCCGGATCGGATGAACGGTCCGCCCGGCAGAGGGCAGTCAGCAGGAGCTTCTGAACCGAACCGAGGATCCGCTCCGTCCGCAGCTCGGTTCGGTTCGACGCGGAAAGAGAAGAGAGTCATGATGTCATGCTGCTCAACCAATCTGACTCACCGGGAGGAGGAAGCACCGACACACGCTGTTAGCAAAATATCAACTCTGTTAGCAAAATATCAACTCTGTTAGCAAAATATCAACACTCTGTGAGCAAAATATCAACACTCTGTGAGCAAAATATCAACACTCTGTTAGTAAAATATCAACACTCTGTTATCAAAATATCAACACTCTGTTAGTAAAATATTAACACTGTTAGCAAAATATCAACACTCTGTTAGCAAAATATCAACACTGTTAGCAAAATATCAACTCTGTTAGCAAAATATCAACTCTGTTAGCAAAATATCAACTCTGTTAGCAAAATATCAACACTCTGTGAGCAAAATATCAACACTGTTAGCAAAATATCAACACTCTGTTAGCAAAATATCAACACTCTGTGAGCAAAATATCAACACTCTGTTAGCAAAATATCAACACTGTTAGCAAAATATCAACACTGTGTTAGCAAAATATCAACACTGTGTTAGCAAAATATCAACACTCTGTGAGCAAAATATCAACACTCTGTTAGCAAAATATCAACACTCTGTGAGCAAAATATCAACACTGTTAGCAAAATATCAACACTGTAGACTGTTTAAAGAGGTATTTCCACTAATTAATGTCCACATTTTGGATCTACTTAATTTGTCTTTAATGGATGGTTATGTACCACAGCGTTTTAAGGTTGCTGTAATTAAACCTTTACTTAAGAAGTCTGACATTGATTCAGAAATTCTGGCCAACTATAGACCTATGTCTAATCTAACTTTCATCTAACAATTCTAGAGAAAATAGTTGCAGGTCAGTTGCGTGAACATCTACAAAGAAATAATCTGTTTGAAGAGTTTCAGTCAGGGTTTAGAGCTCATCATAGCACAGAAACAGCACTAGTAAAAGTCACTAATGATATTCTCATGGTCTCAGACAATGGACTTGTGTCTCTACTGGTCCTGTTAGACCTCAGTG